TTTTCAGGGTCGATTGCGTTACCTGAACCATTTTTTTTTTCACATAAGAATGTATGTATCATATACCAATGGTATGGGAAATTAGATTAGTAAAAAAAAAAAAAAAAAAAAAAAAAAAAAAAAAAAAAAAAAATCCAAGAAAGTAGTTGCTCACATTCCTCAAATTATATTTATGGATGAACCTTTGTCTACTCCAAATTTTTGTTTAATCTATTTATCCTTTCTATGTATTTATTGTCTTCTGAGTTGTAGATAACCCAGCCATAAGTCCTTATCACTGTTTGCAATATTTTGTGAACTTTTGTGAAAATGGTGTAAGAATGAACAGGTAAATAGATCCATAAGAACATAAAAAGACAAGGTTAATTATGTATCAACTCCATTTGTTGGATTCATAATTTTAACATATTTACCTAGAGCTTATTCATCTTCTTAACATCTGTTCCGATACTTGAATTTGCACAATTTCAGGGCAAGTCTACTTCACTGTTGTTGGAGGATTATCCTTTAACTTTGCGACGGCTCCTCTATTCTTCGAGTTAGCGGTGGAAACAGCATACCCCTGTCCAGAGGTGGTTGTGGGCGGCCTGGTTACGGCGACCAATAATTTGCTTGGACTCTTCTTCCTTATGATGTTCTTCATTCCTGATATAGGTATGGAAATGAGTTGGGTTAGGGATTAACTCAATGTCGACGGAAAAATAGTGCGTTCCCTTTGGCAATGCTTGGTTAAATGTTTCTGCACACAGATGGATCTGGCAATGCTAAGTCACTAAGGAGTCAATTAGTAGGTCTTGCAACCTCACTTTTCCTAGAAAAAGTGGGAAAAAACTTATTTTTTTACTAATGCTATCAATATTGACACTGTTATTTTTGTTATATACATTATAATTACTATATTGTTACTGACATTACCAACAGCAGTATTAAATATTAGAGAATATTATCGAAAATCAAGGAAAAGGCTAAACAGGTGAGATGTAGTTAGCGTAATTGACTCATTGGTGATTTAGTACTTGTGCAGCCATCTTTATGTAAAAACGATTACTAAATTTAGCACACACTGGGCAATGTCATGTACATGTCCATGTGCCAAGCCCGGCGGTTTGGGTTAACAAGGGTGTGTGTGTGTGTGTGTGTGTGTGTGTGTGTGTGTGTGTGTGTGTGTGTGTGTGTGTGTGTGTGTGTGTGTGTGTGTGTGTGTGTGTGTGTGTGTGTGTGTGTGTGTGTGTGTGTGTGTGTGTGTGTGAATATGAGTATGATTGTGATCTAATAGCAGCACATATGCACTTTTTCCATTGTTTTATAAAATATAATTTTCAGTTACTAATATCAAATTTCCAGTTATTTGCCATCTCGAGTTCTACTCCAAATAATCACTCCTAAACTCTATATTCTTCATCTCTCCTACTCCCAGGGTACCAGTGGGTGACATACCTACTACTTGCTTCTTCGTCAACGGCAATCCTACCCTTGTTGTTTGTAAGAGAGGATTACGCCAGGTCCAACATTGACCGGGGAGAGCCCGTCGAGTCGGCTTACCAGCCCATTTGACAGAAGGCAAGTAACGACCATAAGAAAAGGTTCCCAGAATCAATCAAGATAGAATAAGGGATTACGACCGATGACCTTAGGGTTGTGGATTTGGTTGTTAGGTTTACAAGGTTTTGGTATTATTGATGATTTGTACTTTGTAATTTGGTTTCAGAGTTGTGAAGGATTTGGGAACTATTTCTATCGTCGTGAATAAGATGTACCAGATATTTATACTATTTTTTAAAAGAAAGTAGTTTTATGGATATCTCTTATTATTTTATATGTTATTTCAATTATATATATGTATATATATATATCTTATTTTACTTTAGAGAGATTTGTGATAGAATATACCTCATTGTGATATTTGATAATACTGACTCATAAGAGATTATTTTCCATGCACTTTTTCATGTTTAGATTTACCAGCTCCTACTATATGCAGGAGGTATTTAATAAAAAGGTATGAAAGAAGTGAATGCCTAAATTATTGGAAATCTGTAAAAAGGTGTAAAAAGGTTTTAATCTATAAATGACTTTTCTCTTGTGTGGGATTTATCACTAGTCTTTTGAGTTCAGGTACATTTTCATGGAGGTGAAATGAGTATGATTAGTAACTAAAAAGAAAAATTGTCATAAGACTTGGTTCAAATTGGTTTGTTGCAAGCAAAATAGAAGAATGAAAGAGATTTGCTTTAGTAATTACTTTTCATATAAAGATTCAAGATTTGGTTTACTGAATTGTTTAGTTTAGCATAACTCTGCACAGTATATGTGGAGGGAAACATGAGCTTCAAGTACATTTGCATAGTGAACATTATGCAAATGCTAGTGCTTTGCTAGTCTATATGTCTGACCACCATACATGCTCGGATATTGAGAATCAGACATATGTATCCATTATTATATGATGTATATTGTCTGTTAGACCATTAAAGGTATATTATATATATAACAAGCTTTT